TTTTAAAAAACAAACCACGCAGTTTCTTGTCCTTTTTAGTTTCTACAGTATCAAAAAGAATCCTTTCTTCTTATTGATAAACTCATAACTGTAATTATTACAATCGTCATTAAAATAATTTTTATTAGTCTTAAATTTTGTGATGCTCTGATCATCCTCTACTTCCTATATTGAACAGCTGTGAGGGGATATCTGCAGCCTGATTGAATATAATGTAACTTCATTTCAAGGATTTAATTTTAAGGTTTAAGAACTGTAATATTCGTTTCAAAAATAAAGTTATTTAAAATATTTCACCAAATATGCATTTTTTCCAAAGCCAGCCAAGTTTTATTTTAGAATCTGAGCCTGTGCACATTTGATAACTTATCTGTCTCACCTGTTAGCATGACAGACCTAAATATCTTTAATTTTGTAGGAGACATAGAGATTTCTGGTCTTTTCTTCCGTAACAGTGTGCTGTCACCTTGCTCTCTCCTCTGCATTCTTTTAAAACGAAGGTAAAGGGAGGAAAGGTCACCCACTCCCCACTTTGATCTCTTATCTCTCTCTTAAACATTGCCTTCAGGTATCTGTTTCACCCATTTGAAGACCAGAGGGAAGTGGATTCTAGGTGGACTTTTATTTTTCTAAGAAGGGGTTTTTGAATTGGCAGATGCCTATAATCTGACTGCTTTCTACATAAATAAAGAAAAAGTGGACCTCTGAGAAGTCTAAGGGTTAGAGTTTCCAAAACAGATGAGTTTTACTGTGTTCTGATCAAGAACTTGAGTTCTCAGAAACAATCCATGCTTTGTTTGCTAAACAAGTCTACTGAACATCGTGTTCTTTTCTGGGAAGAATATGGGGGATGGGCTGTGCAGGGCAGGCTACAAAGGAGGTGGAGAGGGAACAAGAGAAACTTAGGACACTTATAAATCAGAATCAGCCCTTAAAATGTATAGGTCTAGGGCAAGAGTATAAATGGAGGCCCCAGCCCACATATCTAAATATTTAATTTATAATTAAGCTAACAAACTGTTAAATAAAACACATTCTCGCCTCCTACTTTCACAAATATACTTTTATGATGACATCTAGATTCAAATTTATTGAATTCTATCTATATAATCCTCAGACCCCTTGGGATTCTGCACTGGATATGGCTGCATGTGGGGGAACTGGCTCAGTGGCCCAAATCTCATCTTTTTCCATCTCCGACTCTATCCCTCATCCTGCAGGACACACAGCCCATGTGTCCAAGCTCTGTCCACTCCTAGGGCCTATGGGTGCACATACTCATGGGCGGATGGGCCCAGGGAAGAGGCCCACACAAGCACTGAAAACAGATAAGGTGTCATTTGGGTAAGGAATTCCAGGATCCTGCTTATTTGTTAGTATGGAGAGAATGCTTCTCCAATGGAAATATAATGTGAGCCACATAAGTAATCTTAAACTTTCTGGTAGCCACATTGAGGAAGAGGAAGCAGAAACAGGTGAAATTAATGTTAATAATATAGCTTATTTAATTCAATGTATCAAAATTATCAGTTCTAAAAAATTATTAATAGAGTTTACATTCTTTTTTTTTTTTGCGGTACGCGGGCTTCTCACCGCTGTGGCCTCTCCCGTTGCGGGGCACAGGCTCCGGATGCGCAGGCTCAGCGGCCACGGCTCACGGGCCCAGCTGCTCCGCAGCATGTGGGATCCTCCCGGACCGGGTCACGAACCCGTGTCCCCTGCATCGGCAGGCGGACTCTAAACCACCGCGCCACCAGGGAAGCCCAAGTTTACATTCTTTTTTGTACTAAGTCTTTGAAATCCAGTGTGTATTTTATAATTAGAGAACATGTCAGTTTTGACTAGCCCCATTTCAGATGCTCGGAAGCCACCTGAGTCTCGTGGTATTTGTACCAAACAGTACAGCTCTAGGCCAAGGGAGCCCAAACTCCTTGTTCTATAGGGGCACTTGGCCTGTACTTAACTATTTTTTTTCTCTTCCATTCAAGTTTGTCACCTGCCTTTTACTCATTCAACTCACTGCTGCTTGCCTTTCTTCTCAGGAATGGTATGGTCCTAATAAATTTGTTTGCATAGATGAATATACCTTTTATCCCCCCGTTATTGACAAATACTTTTCCAAAAGCCAATGCTTCCACTTTCCATCTTGAGTAATTACTGGAATTGTAATCCTTCTGTTCTCCACTTTCTGAAGTCTTTGTGCTATATTGTTTTGGGTAATGTCTAGGGTCTTTTTCCTTCCTAGAGGAACATTTTTTTAAAAAGTTCAGTTTAATTGCATGCATATTTTAAAACTGTGGCCAGTTCTACCAAATGAGGATACAAATCTAGAAGGCAGGGTACTGTCTTTGTTTGGACTAGAACAGCAGTTTTATCTATTTCAGGATAGAGTTTCCAGAATTAGAAGAAAAAAAAGCATCTAGTTAAATTTGAATTTCAGAAAAAAAAAAGAATATATATTTTTTAACATAAGTATGTCTCATGCAAAATTTGAGACATACTTATACTAAAATATTATTTGTTGTTTATCTGAAATACAAATTTAACTGGATGTCCTGTATTTTATCTGGCAACCCTATTTCAAGACTGTTTTACTGTCTCAAAAATTGGGGACCCTAAGCAGCTTTTATTTCTGTGGATTAAACTATTGATATTTACTGTGTTAGAAATTTAAACTGAGAAATATTTTCATATATAGTAATTCATTTAGAAAAATAATAAACCCCATTCTTGTTAACATATGTATTTTTTATGAAAAATAACTACCTTCTATAACAAGAAAAAATAGGAAGAAGAATGCTATTATTTTATATTGTTGCAACTCTTAATGCCTGGCTTAAGTAGAAGATAGTCGGATTCTCAAGTCTCCTTCTGTTTCTAATCAGGTGTGCTATCACAAAGACGTGTACCATCTGGAAATGTCCACTGGACACTTGGGAGAAAATGAGAGTGGCAAAAGTCAAATGACATCTTAGTATTGTTATGAAAATAGTTTTGACCTTGAGAATCTCCTGAAAGGATCTCAAGGACCTCTTCCACGGTGCCCCAACCATGCTTTGAGAACCCCCGGGCTAGGAATAATAGACCCTCTAGTTCTAGCTTGTGTGTTAGATAGATCATAGATAATCAGAACAGAATAAACATTCTTTGTTTTAAGTAGGACTAATGAGTCAAATCATAAAATACAAAACAAATTTTAAAATGATTATTCATGTTTAGCAGTAATTCTTAAGTTTTGTTTTGTTTTTTACTTTAAAATTACTCTGTCGGCTGCTCTCGCTTTCTGAGATGGCCCACGCTCTGTCTGTGGAGTGTGTTTCTCTCGAAATAAATCCACTTCTTACCTATCAACTTTGTCTCTCACTGAATTGTTTTCTGCGATGAGACATCAAGAACCTGGGCTTCATTAAGTCCTGAAACCAGATACTGAAACCCCCGCCAGGTGGGAGAAGTTAACTCTATGCTGCCACAACAGGCAGACCACGGACTGGCTGGAACCAGAAGGTTGATGATGCCGACTCCCATTTACCTCACCACCAACCAATCAGAAGAAGGTCCATGAGCTGATCACACCCTCCTCTTTGAACCATTACTATAAAACTCCTCACTACCCCCTGCAGGTTGGGACACTCAGTTTTGACAGCATTAGCCCTCTGTGGCTCCCTTTGCCCGGCAAAGCAATAAAACTATTCTTTTCAATTTCACCCCCACCAAAAATAAATAAATAAAATAAAATTACTCTGTCAAGAAAATAGCTATCGATCTGTCAGATAGGTGCATTGTCAGCTTTCTATTTAGAATAAAATTTATGTAGCCATTTAGAACAAAGCTTTACATTTTTTATTATAAAATTCAATAAAGAGGTCACATGACAGTTTCTTTAAAATGCTGATTGGATTGAATTGGGTTTATTTTTAAGATATGTCTGTTCTAGGCATAGTACACATTGCCTAGTATTTAGGCTTGGCCAGTTTATAAAATAATTAGCATAATGCAATAACTAATCTGATTCTCATGTCAAATAGAAAACGTTCTAGAGGTTGGCAATGGGCCAAATGTGACCGTACACAGAGAAGTGCCCTCAAACTTAGAGGTGGGTTCTTGAATTGCTTTAATTGCTTGGACAACTGAGAAAATGAAAGAGCCATTAACAGAAATAGAGCAGGAGGAAGTGCAGGTCTGGGATAAAGATGGTATGTTCGGTTTTGGACTGGAAATGCTGTGGGGTGGGTCAGCAGAGAGGAGATGCTGTTTGGTAAGGGTAGTGAAACACTTTCCAAGGGAGACAGTGTAAAGAGAGAAGAAACAAAGAGCACATCTGTGAGGAGTACCTAACCGTGGGGTAGGAAAGAGGAAATGGGGAAGAAAAAAGAAGAAAAGGAGGAAAGGTTGGAGAGAGCTAGGAAGAGGCTAGGTGAGGAAAGTGTCCTTAGAGTGAGATGAGAAGAGCTCTTCGTGGAAGGGAGTGTGGTTAGCAGGATCGAGACTGAGCAATGGTCACTGGTTCTTCAGTTTGGAACTGCAAAACTGGTACCCTTAGAGAGAGTGTAGTTTTGATTAATTGTGAAGTTTTTGTTATTTCAGGTTTGGATTGGAGAGAAGGGAAGCAGAAAAGTTTTTGACTTGTCTGGGGTAACAGAAATCCTAAAGAGCTACATGGGTCTTCTTTTCCTTCCTCTCTGTTGTCATTCACACGGGTGTTAATTAAGCTAGCCAAGGTGAAGCTAAAAAACTCACTCCAGCAAACTCACTGCCTCAAATATTCAGCCTTATTTTAGAGTGACGTTTGTTCTTAAATATAATCTTTATATTTTAGGTAAAACGCTGGCCTCAGAGTCTGAAGATGCGCACTCGAGCTCTGCTGCTTGCTTACCCTCTGAGGGCTCCTTTTTCTGCTCAGCTGAATTAGGGTTGGACTAGATGATCTCTAAGCCTATGCCAAAATCATGTGATGTTATGCATCTGTGACATTTGTCTTTTCTTTCCTTTTATTATAATAGGTTCAGCAAGTTGAAGAGTCTTAACCTTTCCAATAATCATTTAGGGGACTTCCCATTAGCAGTCTGCAATATTCCAACCCTGGCCGAGCTGAATGTGTCCTGCAATGCCCTCCGAGCAGTCCCGGCAGACGTCGGAGATATGCACAAGTATGTACTTTGAACCCTGCTGCAGAGTATCTCTCAGAAACCCCCAGAAAGCTGCATCAGGGTCGCAGCACATGAGATTAGTTAACTTGTTATGTTGGTCATATGTTGGTCTCTTGGTCCCAAATCAAGAGATCATGCTCTTGTGTAGAGTTCATTTGTTAGCTTCTTTCAGATTCTTGTAAAAAATTAAAATATCCTTGTTTAGAACGAAGAGCCCTACAGGTGAATGTGTCTAAAAATGGGAGGAGGGGTTACTTTCTCAGTTCCTGAGTTATGTTGAATTCTAAGACCTAGAAGTTAATTTTTTACAATAACAATGAAAGATGGGTATTTGGGCTGATTCACACTGTAGTCAGCTTGTGTTGTTCTCATTTATCCCTATCCAAGTTGGGAAAATTGGTCATAATTTTCGTTTTCAGTAAAAGATTAAGATGTTTATCTCTGATCATTTCTCTCTGGTGTATTATTGCCTCAGGCCCTGTCCTTAGCATTTTGCAAAGAATAGTATATTTTCTTTTTCTGGTAATATGATCTATACTTATGGAACTCGTATGTTAATAATAAAGATGTAAAATTTATACATTCTCTTGCTAATTCTTATGTTTTCTTTAATAGCTTACAGACATTTTTGTTGGATGGAAATTTTCTCCAGACCCTTCCTGTTGAGTTGGAGAACATGCATCAGCTTAGTTATCTTGGTCTTTCTTTCAATGAATTCACTGACATTCCAGAGGTATTGGAGAAATTGACTGCTGTGGATAAGCTTTGTATGTCTGGAAACTGTATGGAGACTCTTAGGCTACAGGCTTTAAGAAAAATGCCTCACATTAAACATGTGGATCTAAGGTAACCATTTTAAAGAAATATATCCCATTTGAGTGGTTAGCTTATATTTGGGGGGTAGGTTATAGCCCTTTTGGTGGCATTCTTCTGTTGAGGCAAGCAGGCTGGTTAGTTGCAGTAAGGGCCCGCTTTGCTATTTTTTGCCCAGAGGGAAGTATAATGATTAGTAGTAGGGTCTGCTCATGCCTGAAACTTGTTAAAAAATTTTTTTCTCACTGATGAGTGACCACATATCTTGAAGGTCTTAGTTGGTTTTGCAAGTTTGAGCCCAGTTTTAATTAGCGTGAATCAGTAGGCCCATCGAGTCAGAGAGAGCTATTTATGGTCAATGAAAACCGTATCAAGAGCCAAGTGGATATTTTTCTCTCTTATTCCTACTTTTCTGTGGCTTGAGGCATTTGACACCATTGAGCATCTCTCCTTAATTTTTTTTCCCTTCCTTGGCTTCCTTAATATAATATATTCATTAAATTAAATTTATTACTTCTTTAATTTACTTATTTTAATTTCCTCTCTCTCTTTCTATCCAGATGGGTCTGCCCTTAGTTTACAGTTCTTTGCAAAGATGTAAAACTCACAATCTCTTGGTAGGCCCAAGTTTGGCCAGAACCTCCACTCTCACCCCTTGCAAGAACAAGGGAACCTGCATTTTGAATCTGATCACACTAAACTCCAGCTGAAAACACTAACACAATCCTTGCTACATCACAGATGCCCAGTCATCATCCCTTCGTATGTAAACTTCAGTTTTACTTTCTAATGCACAAAGAACCAATACACAAGGAGGAAGCCATTCTAAATTTCTCTTTTTTTAAGGAAAAACAAGAGCCTGTCATTGGGCTTGAGTTCCTGCAAAGCAACATATTAGGTTTAGGCCTTAATATTAACTTGCCCAATTTGATACTTTCTCAGCCAAACTAACTTTCCCATTAACCAGGGAGTGACGACCACATTAAATCTTGGACGAGATATTTAATGTCTCTGTGCAGCTGTGTTCTCATCTCTAGATTACAGTTAATAACAGAATCTAACTCATAGAGTTTTGGAAGGAATGGAGTAAATGCCTCACTCTCCCAGCACATGTTACATATTGTTATTATTACCTGCTGAGATCTCTTACTTATGAACCCTGCTCAGCTGTCAGTCTTGGCATCTTTTCACCTCTTTGTTTGATGGTTCTTTCCTTGTTTTACTACCCACTTTCCTCTCTGGTGATGACCCCAGACCCTCACTCAGGCCTGTTCATCAGTATAAAGTAGCATCACCTTTTGCTCCCCTTTCATCTCCATTCTTATGGTTTGGCCCCGGGGAACCCATTCTTTCCAGTCCCACAAAGGGTTGATTTGCTTTACCTTTCCTCAGACTAAAGGAATCAAGCCTGTCGCACCTGGGGAAGTGTTAGCAATTTGCAGACCTAGAATTCTTAGTTCAGGGAGTTCTAATGGTAATAATTTATCTGACTTTGAGAACTTTTTGGAGTGTGACAGGATAGGGAACTGAACACTTCGTCTTGTTAACTTTCTTTCTAAATTGTTAACGTTATTTGCCTCTGAGTCACTTGGGTTTAGAAAACCTTCATATTCAAGAATTTGAGCCCTTTTTAAATTCAGCCACCCAGAGGTATAACGATGGTCGTTTTGACCTCAGGCAGCAAGCATGAGGGGATTTATAAGTTACCTGGTATGGATAAGAAAGCATCTTTTTTCTTGATCTGAATTAGCTTACAAACGAGATCAATCTGATATGTTTGGAAGTAACTTCTTATTAAGAGCTTCGTAAATTCTTCAGATTTCTAGTTCTAATTGGGTCTTTTTTAGATGAGATTAGTTACAGGATATTTAAATACCAGAATAGACTTTTGTACATGTAAATGTTAAATGATGATGAGTAGGTAACTGCTTCCCTTCAGACCACTGAGCTGAGGGGGCAGAAATCTGGTCAGATTTGCTTATAATTCTGCCTTAATATTTTAAACAGAAGCTAGTGGAATGATTTAAGGGGAGTTTCACTTAGTTTCTGTAAGCAGAGGGCTAATTTTATTGATTGAATTTTTATTCCTTCAGATGGAAATATTACATCAGATTAAAAGTAGTCATTTTTCTTTTAATCTTATTCTTTTTCTCATATTCACGTTTTTGAGTCTGATATTATTTCTTCTATGGCATCATTAATAATTTCTCCTCTTCTCTGTCCAAAATGTGGATATTACATCTTTCTCCTCGATCACCTCTCTTTCTGTTTTGTGCCTTGGTGGTTGGTTGCCTGTACTCACAGGACTTCATCATTTACCTTTCATCTCCATGGTAAATATTCCTCAATTTTTCTCTACCTCTTATTTCTCTTCTTGGGATTAATTCCACTTCAGCTGCCAGCAGGATAATTTCACCTTGCTTTCTCCTATTGACACACTCACCCAAATTACATGTGAAACAGAGTTTAATTTCTTTCTATTCAACTAGTTCTTTCCCCTGGATTCCTAATTTTGCTAATGGCAACACTGCTCCATTGGTTATCCAGACACAAAATTTTTGACTCTTATTTTCTAGTCTGCCACCAGATCCCATCAGTTCTCGCAGCTAGTTTGACTCCTTGTCCCTTCCTTTGCCTTCTCACTGCTGCTGTTGTCTCCTAGCTGAGCTATCTGCTGCCATTGTACAGCCTCTTAAGCAAGCACAGCCTTGCTCAGAGCCTTCAGTTCTCTAGTTCAAGATATTCAAGCTCTCGCATCTGGTTTCAACCCACTAGCCTGTGAATCCCTTGAGGATGAGGCGCTAGCTCAGAGCTGCTCAAAGTGTGGTCCTCCAGCCTGTGCTAGCAAACCGACTATTTCCTCCTTTTCTACAATGAGATATGTGTAGAAATTGAGACTTAATATCTTAGAAACACACAGTGACTTGACATTGCCACAGTATCCAAGTAGACTCATATAAGCAGACTCATCTCATTGTACAGGGAGTAGACTAGTTTAGGTGTTGGCGAACTTGCAGGGGTGAGCTGCTTGTGCAGTGAGCTGTGTCCTGGTATGTGCATATGACTACACATCAGTCTGTGATGGATTAGAAGTTGAGAAAATAGGTCCTTCGGGCTTCCCTGATGGCGCAGTGGTTGAGAATCTGCCTGCCAATGCAGGGGACACGGGTTCCAGCCCTGGTCTGGGAGGATCCCACATGCTGCGGAGCGACTGGGCCCGTGAGCCACACCTACTGAGCCTGCGCGTCTGGAGCCTGTGCTCCGCAACAAGAGAGGCCGCGATAGTGAGAGGCCCGCATACTGCGATGAAGAGTGGCCCCTGCTCGCCTCAACTAGAGAAAGCCCTCGCACAGAACGAAGACCCAACACAGCCATAAATAAATAAATTAATTAAATTAAATTAAATTAAAAAGAAAATAGGTCCTTCACCCGAGATAACTTGAGAAGCACTGCTCTTATTTATGTATCCTTAAGTTCCCAGTGTTAGCGCTTAGTAGGCACAGTACTTGATAAATATTAATTGACTAACCCACCTTTGTAGCCATATTCTCACTCCTCTCACATAGCCTGCACTCCTGAGGGACCCCTACACCCATGCATGAAACTCACCTTCTGCTCTTCTCTTCAGTCCGAAGGCCATTCAGCAACTCCTCATGGATGCCTTTCTTCTCCCATTTACGTTTGTTGAATTCCACCTGCCCTTGGGATTCAGATGAGATGGCTCCTCTTGCATAGCATCTTTTTTGACCATTCTCTGTATTTTACGTCATTTATGACATTTATCACATACTTGTATCTTTATACTTCGTACTTTAAAGCATATCTGGTTCCTCACTAAATTACTGAATCTGTTGACAAGCACCTTACTTTATTCATCTCTTATTGACACAAAGCCATAGGTTATCGTCATCATCATCATCACCATGGCTTTTCCTTGTTCACAAAGCACCAGCCCATACATTCATTTGATTTTCTCAACTGCCTTGTAGGACAAGGAAGGTGTCATCCCCATTTTACAGGTTAGAATTAGACAACAGAGACTTCGGTGACTTGCTCAAGGTCACATATGCAAAGTGTTGAGCAGCAAACTGGAACTAGAACATTTTCATACTGCCGATCAACACATAGTAAATGCTCAGTGAGTACTGATGAAATAAATAAAATGCCTGTGTTAACTGAGGAGATTATTGGAAGAAAATTTTTACCACATTTTGCCTCTTTAAAAGGTCACCCTAAGTAGTTGTATTATTGTGTGAGCCTGAAAACTTTTGATATTTGCATCCTGATAAGACTTGGCAATTTAAAGTGAATAGTGAGACTAACCTCCCTGTTTATAGATTTTCTTTTGTCTCCTCATTAAACCAGCCCTTTAATTACGTTAGTGTTAATACAGTGGAGGCGGGGCGCGAGGAGATGATAGCGAAGGTAATTTAAAGTGTAGATTAGGGAGAACCTGGGACATTTTTTCAATTCCTGCAGTCCCTTATATCCAAAATTAGATTTGGGGTTTTTTTTTTCTTTTTATTCTGTGTACATATTCTAGTAATCTAGTGAGCATTTGGAGATAGGCAAATTGCTGGGTTGAGGCCAGTTTTTTAATCTTACAACCTGGAATAGAAAAGAAAAGGAGCAAAAAAAAAGAATCATCTTGGGGACATTTGAGGAGGCAATATGCTGTTCTTGCAGGTTGACAAGTCCTAGCTCTTTGCTGTCTTGTCTCTCATCCTTGTGTTTCAGTGGCTTTATGATATTGCTATTAAAATTTTAGTTACCCTCATTTTATTTTATTTTCTCAAAGGGCAGAAAATCACTGCAGAGAAGACTTGGCTTGTTTCTAAGCTCCTGCCTTTGTATTAATGCTCTTCTAACCAAGTGCGTGATATCAGCGCTCTGTTGGCTTTGTAATGAGAAGCAGGAGGTTCTCTTGTTTGTTGGTTTGTAAAGGAGTTGGGCATAGCCTAGCAAGCTAGGAATTGAGATTTTCATCTGTTTTTCTCCACTTTGAAGCTAGATGTGTTTTTGTTATATTGATTGCTAGTCCCCATTACTACTTACGTATCTTCTTGGCAGCTCATTCATGGCAACTTTAGTCTATTAGCTATCTACTTCTTATGACTGAGGCTCTGCCAGTTTTTCCCTGTGCCCTGAACTTGTTGATCCCCATTATTGTCCTTTGTTTTATGACTTCTCAGTGAATCCTGCGTGTCAAGTTTCAGTGTTTTCTGCACTTTGCTCTTTCAAGTAGTATTTTAAAATTGGAAACAGTTTTGGTAATTAATCTTTGGTCCAGAACCAACTGAAAATTCAGATATATTTGCACACCTGTCTCTGGTGTACATCTGGCTCCCATTCATTATTTTTTTCCAAGTTCACCGATTAATTCTGTCCCTTATGGCTGCTCATCTACCTGCTCACTCATCCTCTCTCTTTCCTTAAATATCCATGTAGTTGTAATGTGCTTAATGGGTTATTCTGGGTTTTGTTTCTCGTGTTCTTTCAACCAGATTCTTTGGAAATAAACATTCAAATGATTTTTTTCTCCGTTTAAATTAACTAAGGTGAAATCAATATGCATATTTCTCTTCCAGCCTTAATGATCTAAATTGTGTTTCAGATTATATTTTCAAGGTTAAGACCTCATGGAATTGTAGCTAGAAATAGCCAGAGAATCTGGCTAGTTAAGGAAAGCCAGATACTGAGATTAAAGAAATCATGGAGGACTGTGACAGAGTGAGACTTGAGTCCTTCTTGTTAGTCACCATATGAGGGTGTGGCTGTTTATTTATAACATTGCAGTTAATTATAGTGTCTATTTATGTCCTTTTCCTCTCAAGACTGAACCTAATTAGGAAGCTAATAGCAGATGAAGTGGACTTTCTCCCTCACGTCACTCAGCTTGATCTGCGCGACAATAAGCTTCGTGATCTAGATGCTATGGTTTTCAACAACATTGAAGTTTTACACTGTGAAAGGAATCAACTGGTGACATTAAACATCTGTGGCTATATCCTAAAAGCACTGTATACCTCTTCTAATGGTATGTAACAAAGACCACATCAGACTTTCTCTTTTTTTTTTAAATTGATTTATTTAATTTATTTATCTTTGGCTGTGTTGGGTCTTCATTGCTGCATGCAGGCTCTCTCTAGTTGCGGCGAGCCGGGGCTGCTCTTTGTTGTGGTGTGCGGGCTTCTCATTGCAGTGGCTTCTCTTGTTGCAGAGCACAGGCTCTAGGCGCGCAGGCTCAGTAGTTCTGGCTCGCGGGCTCTAGAGTGCAGGCTCAGTAGTTGTGGCTCACGGGCCTAGTTGCTACACAGCATGTGGGATCTTCCCAGACCAGGGCTCGAACCTGTGTCCCCTGCATTGGCAGGCAGATTCTTAACCACTGCGCCACCAGGGAAGTCCCCAGAGTTTTTCTTTTGGTTCCAAGAATTTACTCAGTGCCATCTTCTCTGCCTCACTTTGATTTTTCTTTCCTCATTTAGGAAAATAAGTTTTTCCAATTTTGCTAAGATAAAAATCATAAAAGAATCCTGGTTTGGTATTTAAAGGAATCAAAAAGGAAGATTTTAAAGTTCCTAATTTGTTTTTCTCACATTGTGATATTTAGATAGGTTCCTCCCACTTGTGATTTGGCTCTTCTCCTTGAAGGGCAGACAGGGGGTAAGGTGGGGGGGTGATTGGGCTACCTTGTTAAGATAGTAAATCTGGAGAATGAAAGTGAAAGGGAGGTCTGTTTCCGACTCCATTCAGGGTCTCAGATTTCCTGCTTCACCAACAAAGGAGCTCACCTTAAGAGAAACCCAAATTATATACCCACAGGGACACCACAAAGCAAGAGTCTTACTCATTTAATAAGGTCTCCTCCTTAGAAATTGGAAATCATGGCAGTTCTAAAACAGAAAAGGTCGTATGGGCCTATGTTTGCTGAAGTGAAGATTTCCATTCCCTCCCATCAGGCAACTGAATGGAAACAGGTATTTACTACTACGTGCTGAACAAATATTTATCAAGCTGAATGTTTAAAAAAAAATGGTATTCATACAGTTAATCTTCCAGATAAAATTTAGCAGGCATAACAAGAGGAGTGCCACAGTAAGTGGATAAGAAAGAGGTAGGAAAGTAGAATGAGTGATTTATTTCAGTCTCTGAATAAGATCTTGGGATTAAATTAGAAGTTCTTTGTACTTTCCTGTAGTTTCAAAGTTAAACAAATGGATGTATTGTATTTCCTAACCTAAATAAACCATGGAGAATAAAGCACAGGAATGATATTCTACATATAAAAAGAGTCTCTGTGTCACTTGAATGGTAATGTTTTTGTTTTCTGCTTCCTAGAACTTGTCCAACTTGACGTTTACCCAGTTCCGAATTATCTGTCCTACATGGATGTTTCAAGGTAAGAAGGCAAGTCCTAGAGCACTCTGGGGTCTGCTTGAAAATTATTCAGATGATTCTGTCTCAACTTCGGCATAAGAACTTTTTATATATCTTGAAGGTATTCACTAGTGTTGAATACTTATCCTCTGAAAAATGCATGCAACTGTCTGTCAGTTAAAGTATGTACTTCATTTGTATACTATAGTTGACACCAGAAGAATCAAGATGTTGATGTGGACACCGGTTTGAATGCCAGGTTTACGCTTGAAAGATTAGTCAGTTGAGGGTTGTATGGCTGGAAGGTCCAGTACATCTTTAGTTATATTAACCATATCTTTATGTCTTTCTCTGAAATGTTGTTAATTTCATTAAAAATATATGTTGTGCTGTATAGCTCTTTGATTTTTTGCCTCTGTTTTGTATATACATCTCCTTACTAAGAACTCTTAAAAAGTGCTGGCTGAGACTGCCAAAGTAAGACTTCCATACAGCCTGCTCACTTTTCTCAGCTCATTTGTGAACACCTTTTATACAAATTCACTACTACAGTGTGTCATGTGTACTCTGGTTCCCACAAATATTGTAGTAGACTTTTCCCTGAAGGCCCAAAGCATGTATTTGCACAAATTAGACTTTCATAATCTCAACACACTAAATTGAAACTCACTTTTAACTTAATTCCAAAGGTAACAACCGAGACTTTCCTGAATGACTGCAGTACATGGGAGCATGTGGCCCTGTCAACGTGACAACTGTTAACTCATGTCAGTGTGTAAAATCTGATACAACTGATATGTGATTTGTCAGGTGCAGAATTTGCCTTTAGTCATGAAAGTACACAAACCTAGATATTTTAATAATACTCTCAATCATAATTATGTCAGAATGTGTCAGAATTTAGCTGACGTGAGAATGATTACAATTAGTTTTATTAGAAATTTACAATTATTAAATCCTTTATGAGTAGTGCTTCATACATTTCCTACTAAATTCATGTCAGACAGTTTTGTTTAATGAATTTTAAGTCAGATACTACCTAAGTTCTTTCTTTTGTTTTTTTTTCTGTCAGCCTTGAATATTATTATCTTCAGCATTTAAATAAGAGTACAGGAGTAGGGTTTGCATACATGGGTGCATATAAATATCTTGAACAGATTTATTCCAGAGAATTGGCCATAGAGTGAATCTATTTTTCTTTTATTTATAGTATATAATTGGCAAATGGTTCCCATTGAAACCCCTAAGTGAGACTGAATTGGAGACTCTTATGTCATGCTGGTCCCTGAATTCTGCACTTAAATGCTATTCATCTTGTTTTTAACTCGCATGTCCAGCATCTTTAGTGTGACGTGCTCTGCCTAATCCACCTCCCAAACTGTAGGACATTCTCGTAGAAAAACCTCTGCTTCCCCTCACATAGCTCTAGGTATTTCACCCTCTCTTGTGTATTTATGTTCTCTAAAGGAACTGAGCTGTTACTTATAGTGTTTACTAGGTTCTTAGAGATCCTCAAGTTCAGAGTTCTAGGTTATTTTATCACTTAAGAGGAATTTTATTGCTATATTGTGAGGTTGCTTATACTGAAGGGTACTTTCACTCACCTATCTTATTGAGATGTTTTAGGGATTAACTACTGTACAGTAAAGTAATTAAGTGTGTCAGTCTGTAGAGCTTCAAAGCCAGAACCGTGTGTACCTATATAAACACTAAACAGAAAATAATGCCTTCTTTTCTATATTTTAGTTGAAAAGTTGATATAATAGCAAAAACTTTTACTCTAATATAATCCTTGTTCCAAGCATCATACTTTTCACAGACTTGTTCATCTGTTTTTAAAGGATTGTAGTCATAACATACATACCATGTTAGATTTTTGTGCCTAGTCATTTCACATATTTTAAAAAGAAGGTAAAAAGCTATGACTGTGACTAAGGAGCCATCTGTGACTAAGGAGACATTCAAATATAGTAGATTTATCTAAGATGTGGTCAATTCATTTAACAATTTAAGTTACCATTGGTTTAGTTTACTTGTTTCCGGTAATTATAATTACTGTCTAATGCCTAAGTAAATGTTTTCAAGTAATTAATTCTGAACTTAAGGGTCAGTGTATCTTTTCATTGCTGCCATTTCTTTCCATTTGTCTATGGCACTGCTCTCGTGGTACCTTCTGGAGTTAGGAAAATTTTTCATGTTAAGGGTAAAAATGCAAATTGGAAAATAAAACTATTTTATACCATTTGACTATTTACCTTAACTGGAAGTGTGTGTATATGTGTTTATTTGTTTGTTTTCCAGTATAAGACATCTTCTCCCTAAGCTTACATAGGTTTATAGACATTTTGGGATAGTAATTCTGGGAACCAGACTTTTTTTTAGACTTTAGAGATGATGCAGATGATGTGACTGTGTTCTTTGCTACTCTTTCTTTATTTCTTATTCCTTCTCACAGTTCATCTTGCTTCAGATTAAAGTGAATACACATATCCTTTTGATTTATACTCACTGTAATTGGGTATTTCACGTGTTTTATTGTGCTATATAATTATTTTGACTTTTGAACCATATTTTAAGCCAAATTCCAATAAAAAAGAATTGTATATTCTTATATTTAGGAACCGTTTAGAAAACGTGCCTGAGTGGGTATGTGAAAGCCGAAAGCTAGAAGTTTTGGATATTGGCCATAATCAAATATGTGAACTTCCTGCACGGTGAGTATTACAGATTAAGTTAGAGAATCTCAAATTAGATGAGCAATGGAAAAAATTGCTGATTCAGTGTTTAATTTGTTATTATGAACCCCTGAAAGAGTTTGCTCCGAAAACTTATTTAGGGACTTCCCTGGTGGTCCAGTGGTTAAGAGTCTGTACTCCCAATGCAGGGGGCATGAGCTCCATCCTGGTTGGGGAACTAAGATCCCACATGCCACACTGCGTGGCCAAAAAAATAATAATAAAACCTTACTTAGTATCTTTTACCTCTCTTGGTATCTTTGAGGCACAATCTTCTATCATGCAGTGATGGGTAGACCAAGGCTTTGACTCCGAGCCAGACTTCACAAAGCCACGTGGCAGTTGATGCTTGGTGGAAGTTTTCAAATAAGCCAAAAGAAATGTTCAGAGACTCAGCAAACATGATTTGTTCACCTCTGTAATCTTAATTCTTTCAGAATCTTTGCCTTCTGTCCATTGTCTTACATGTCTGCCTTACCCACAAATAATTTTTGGTTTTATTTGAATGTAACCCTAAAACCAAAAAGATTATTAGATCATTAAATCAGAAAAAGCAGACTAGATTTCTATTTTTCTTGTGTGAAATTTGGAGTAGAAGGTCGAAGAACTTCTCTTTCCTTCTCTCTCAGTTTTATTTCATAATATTCACTTTAATGGCAAGATTGTAAAGCAACCACATGATGATATCTGGTATCCATAGATCGAGACAAATATCTTCAAGTTGGCTAATTGTGGCATAAAATATTATTGGACTGTTAGTGACTAGCCATGCAATTAATAACCAGAAGAGTAGTCTATCCCACTGCTGTCCTGAAGAACTTTCTGTGATGATTGAAATGGTCTGTATCTGTGCTCTTCACTACAGTGTCCACTAGCCACATGTGACTGTTGAGCACTTGAAATGTGGACAGTGTGACCAAGGAACTGAATATTAAATTTTATTTAATTTTAATTAGTTTAAATTTAAATAGCCACTTGTGCCTAGTGGCTGCCACAACTCAGGTCTAGGTATTTCCACTATTCTCAGCCAGTCACTGAACAGAGTAAGTCGTTAGTTTATTTGTTTGTTTATTTACTTATTTATCTTTTTTTTTTTTTTTTTTTTTTTTTTGCGGTACGCGGGCCTCTCACTGCTGTGGCCTCTCCCGTTGCGGAGCACAGGCTCCGGACACGCAGGCTCAGCGGCCATGGCTCACGGGCCCAGCCGCTCCGCAGCATGTGGGATCTTCCCGGACCCGGGCACGAACCCGTGTCCCCTGCATTGGCAGGCGGACTCTCAACCACTGTGCCACCAGGGAAGCCCCATTTTTAGCCATATATAGTAAAAAATATCAATGAAAAATTGTAGAAATATATCACTGTTTTGGAGTAAACTTAGATACACGATCTCTAAAGGTTTATGATCGTATTCCTCTGTTCTCTTGTAAAGGACAAGGATCATGAAACACACCTGCTTAGTAAGCCCAGTAAATGTGTCAGAGTTCAGCTGTCCACTATGACAGCCAGTAGCCATTAGCTGAGGGGCTTTTGAGCACTTAAAACGTGACTAGTCCTAACTGAGAAGTGTTGAAGTATAAAATATACACTGGATGCAAAATATCTCAATGATATTGTATATTAATTACATGTTACAATAGTATTTTGGATATATTGGGTCAAATAAAAAGTGTACTGTAAAAACTAATTTACCTGTTTCTTTTCACTTTTTTAAATGTGACTACTAAAAAGTTTTAAATTACGTATGTGTCTTGCATGGTATTTCTGTTGGATAACATTGTGTTGGAGTCTAGCTCTTGTGGAAGAAATCAATTTACATTTTCAATCCCTGGAAAGCTCAGTTGATTTTACTTTGTTTCTCAGCCATATGTTATGCCTGTAAATTCAGTCCATTTGAAAATGCTTTTTGCTTTAGAGTTTTATGTTGAGTGAGCATTTAGGTGACCCAGTATAGCCCGTCACCATTATCAAAAGGACTTTGGTGATGTGCCCCGTGGACAGGTGTGTGTGTGTGTGTGTGTGTGTGTGTATGTGTGTATGTGAAGGAGGGGGAGAGAGAGAGACCCTTTTAGAAGACAAACAGCAAAAAAGAAAACAGGCTACTACTACTAATGAGGAAAAATAATTTGTTAAAAAAAATTTTTGTACTGTTATCTTTCTGTCTGTTTTTCTCTTCCCTACTTTGACCTCCCCAGTTTAACACATATAGCATGTTGGAGTCTAAGGCCTCTGTGTCACTGTACGCTACAACAAAGATATTATATAAATAAACCAACAATTAAATAAATACAAGATAACTGATATCTTACCCAGTTTTCCCCAAAGCTAATTAATCTTTGATTTGCTCTGCATTAGTACAGGCTTTTTTGGGATCTAAACAAATGCTTATTCAAAGGAAATCCAAATGCTGTCTTGTCAAAAAATTTAAACAGTGTTTGTTTTTGTGTATGTCTGTGTTTTTAACACATGGGACAAAAACAATACATGTTTTCTCATTTATGGTGTTGTTTAGTTGCAAACTTTGTATCGGCCCTATCATTGATCTAATATCCAGCCCAAGACAGTGATTCGTTAGAAGTTGGTTTAACATTCAAGCTTTGTTTGTCTAGGTGATGTGTGTGAAGGGTCTGAGAAAACAGAAATTCATGTTTAGCAGTGGAGCTGTACTGAAAGGAAAAGAAGCTATTTTAATTATTTTAATTCATAGTATCCAAAAGAATTGAACAAATCCAGTTACTAGCATTTATACTCATCCTACAGTTATCAAATCTCCTTTCTTATCTGGAAAAATGAAGATAAAGATTTTGTAACCTGTCTTTCAGTTATCTGTCTATGTAAGGGTGAAGTGTGTGTGTGAGAGAGAGAGAGAAATAATCCCATTCTACTCTCTAAGAATTCTAAATTGTATACCAGGCCCAGCAAGACAGTAAAATTGGTGGACCAAATCCTGAATTATTAGGTTGAAGTGAGCGTTACAGAGACTGGCCCCTGTGATAGCTGTGACTGAATGACAGTCCTGGACAGATTGTCTTGTCACATTAATACCTAAACCTGCAAAGTCAGGTATATCTTTAATGGGGGCCCATGGTGTCACAGTGTGGAGACAGGTTGCTAGCATCTTTGTGAACAAAGAATCTAGTTTTGATACTTAAAGTGAATAAAGTTACAGCTGTAATATAGAGTGATTTAAGAACTTTGGATGTCAGTGAGGTCAGAATGGTGGGAAACTGGAGGTGGGTGAGGAAGCCTCATTCTTTGACAGCAGTGTAAATGAGTTCTCATTCCAGTGTGATCCGGATGCAAATTATAACCTCATTTTCCCACAGTCCCCAGATTTCTGTGTTTAACCCAGGACCTGCTTTATTCTCTATGAGGTCTTAAGTGATCCTAAAGCAGATTTACATAAGATTAACACATACTCATCATTTGTTGCAGTTTTGATAACCCATAGAAGAAAAACACAGTCAAGCTTCCCAATAGCTTGTTTGATGCTCAAAAGAAAATACTGCATTGAGTGAGTTCTATTCTCTTTAGGAGGGAGAATATAATCCTACTTTGGTCTAGGATTAAGCCAAAGAGAAAATAGAAATATACAGATTTAGGGAAGTGAGGAAAGAGAGAAATAATTATTGTGAAATGCAACTGAGGAAAATGTAGCATTTTTTCAGTTGTCATTGGTAAAAGTTTAACTGGACAAAAGAATTCTTACTGAATGTTGACTTCGTAAGTAAAAACTGCTCAACTGTATTTATTCAGATTCTATTGTGGGTAAAACCCCCAGCGTTCCAGGGTGATACCAGATGTAATCCCTGCCTGGGGAAGCCTACAGCCTTTCACAGTTTGCCTTGTGAGTTTAACAAGACTAGGCTGCTGCCTTTGGTGTCTTCTATGAAACTCGTTTTCTTTTTCACTAAGTAGAGCTGCTTTGTTAAATATCCCTTTTCATAGTTATTCCCATCCTCTTTTTTTTTTTAAGTATGGAAAGTATTGAAATATGAACAGCTCCAACTTTGAGCTTACGTTAATATGAATTTGCACTTGCTCTGAATGAATTTAGGTTTCTTAGAGAATTTTAAGTCTTTTCCTACTCCTATTCATTTTGAAAACTTCATCCCAAATGAGCTCTCAGTAAGTTTCCTTCTGTCTTTGTCCTTGTTTGCACAGCTTATTTTGTAATAGTAGTCTCCGGAAACTACTGGCGGGACACAACCAGCTGACAAGGCTTCCCGAAAGGCTAGAAAGAACCTCAGTGGAGGTCTTGGATGTGCAGCACAACCAGCTCCTGGAGCTGCCACCCAACCTTCTGATGAAGGCCGACAGGTAAAGCTGCTGGTTTGTTTTGGTTGTTCATCGACTTGTAAGATGCCCCCTAATTAGCATTCTTATCTTAGGTGATCTCAGACCTTTTAAAGTGGACTTTGTGACTATCTATCTGTCCTAGATTTATGAAGAAAATGGTATTGCCAGCCACTTCTGTCACCATTTTGTAGGAAATAGAGGAAGGAATATCCTAGAGAGTCTTTCTTAATTTCTCTGCTTCTTTAATTTTGATTCCTTAAGTGGGTTGAGTTGTGCATAAGCGTGAGCTGTGGAGGTGTCGCTATAAAAACAAGGGTGGGAAGTTTGCTGCCTGGTCAAAGCTTGTGCAGCCCGCTCTAGGCTTAGTGTAATTACCTTAGGATTCTCTGTTCTTGCTTTCACATATTTATGACTTTGGGTGACAGAGATAGATTTTCCTAGAGTGTTCCTTTTTTTTTTTTTTTTTTTTTTTTACCAATTGTCTTATCTTTACCACAGGTTTACCCTTGCATTTAAACTATTTTCTTTTTGAACGAAGAGCATTTTTCTAAATAACTTGTTTACTAAGTATTTAAAGAAATTGTTCCCATCAACAGTATAGGAGGGTTCCTTTCTAAGATGTTCAATAAATATTTGTTTAATGAAAGGTAAAAAATTTAAGGAATTTTAAATACTACCCTTGATCTTGGATTTGCGTTTTTTTCTTTCTCTCCTTTTCCTTTTTCAAAAAAATCTTTTTATCAAGATGTAACTTACAGTCAAAAAGTGTACAGCTCTTGAGCATACTGCTCAATGAACTTCTACATACATATATACCCCATAGCCATCACCCAGATCAAGATGGAGAACATGTCCAGCATTCCTTTCCTTTTCCTTTGTTTTCCTCATTTAAAAAAAAAAATTATTCTCTGTACTTAATGTAAGTTACAATGAATTCCTACTGGTATAATTATTGAGAAATAATGGAATTGTGGGGAAATGGGATTGTTACATTGTAATTGACTGGTGCTATGTCATTCCCCTGACAAAAAGAACAATATTTCAAGATAATTTAAAGAATTGTTCTTGCTTTTGCATTCATATCAAAGGACAGTGCACAGCCTATGGGTAGCCCTAGACCTGTTTCTTATTGTTATGAATACTGTAGGATTTGGTTTCTTCCCCTGTGGAGAATTCTATGTCGTGTTGTAGCCTTGTGTTTTCTTTCATAAGGCTTACTAGGGAAAATTTGGGTGCAGTTTTATAATGAGAATCCACTTGTTCTCCTGGGGGATCTACACTGAATCGGTAGAAACCAGAAGGGAGATGGATTCGGGTTTTAGGAGTCTTTGAGTGAGATAAAACCATTTTTGAATCTGAGTCTTATAAGGTCATGGCTAGGAGAGTAGGTAAATAGTGCTGGAACTCTCCAATAGATAATAATCATTCTTTATTCATCTCTGAGAATTTTATTTTAAAGGGACACTTGAATATATTTTTCATTCTCTAGAGGCGTCCCTAAGCAGTCATTGAGTCTCCCTGGTGCCAGCCAGATCTGACAGTGTGTGCCTGAGGTCGCTCACAGTGTGGTCCAGGAGACTGTGTGTTCATGTTCAGATGAGCGGTTGTGAGGGGCAACTTTAACTTAGATTGTTCCACAGGCAATTCTGCTGACTCCCAGGGTTGAGAACCGCTGCGTGGACTGTTGACTTTGTGGCCTTGCGCAGGTTTTCCCTTGTTGTCTATTCTGTACAGTCCCAGATGGAATCTGTATGTTGCAAAAGGGGTGATTGTATGAACTAGAATATTTCTGGTCATGCAGTATGGAAAATTTAGGACCTGAATTGAGCCACTGAAAGGGAACATTGCTATCAAGGAGAGCAGAATAAGCTGAGCCTACAGCGTAAGCTAAAGGCATTTAGGCAGAAATACCCTAGTCTGAATAAATCGGCCTATCCAGAGCCAGCTGCATTTTGGAAAATAGGGGCTGGTGCGGGGGAAGTAGGCAGCCTCTGTAGGTCTTGGGAGGAGGGCAGGCCGTGCCAGATGCCCTTCCAGCACAGGGAAGTGCTGGAGTAAGGGGCTGAGTGAATTAGAAAGAGCAAGCATCCTGCTTTTATTTTATGAGAGAAAAGCAAATGACCAAAAGAGGCAGAAGTAAGAAACTTTTCCAGGAAGGCATATTCCAGTGCCTTTGTTTTCCAAGCAATGCAATAACCCCATCTCCAGCCTCGTGTAGCAACTGACCTTATTGTCATGACTCTGAGTCAGAAAGGTTAAGAGGTTTGGTTCTCTCAGGCAGATAGGGTTATAAAGAGGGTGGGGTAAAGTCGATGAGTTCTTTTTTGAACAACATTCTTGTATTATTTCACTTGTTGGAAGACAAGAAAAATAGAACTTTTTAAAATTGAAATGTAGTTGACTTTTACAATAGTATATTAATTTAAGGTAGACAACATAGTGATTTGATATTTCTATAGATTACACATCATACAGAGTTATGATAAAAATATTGACTCTATTCCCTATGCTTTACCAAACTATTTACTGCTTCTTAAAGGGATAATACTTTTTCTATTTATCCCCTTTCCAAAACCTAAATAACTGAGGTTTTCTCTATCTAAATTAAAAAAAAAAATTTTAATCGAGACATAATTTACATTCAGGGAAATGTAGAGCTACTGTATATTTGGTTTGATTAGCTTGAGGGGAAGGAATAAACTACTACTGACTACTGTGGGAGCAGGTCAACCTAGAAAACATGAAGCTTAAAATATTAAAAGAGGGTTTTTTGGGAAAGAATCTTCACAAGCTCTTTGCAGGTGGTTTCAGTTGTGATTTGTTTTCATTTACGTGGTTCAGGATGGCCAATGTCTTACCTTGTAAGTTTAAGTCCCTGTGCTGGGTACTGCAGGGGATTGAAAAATGGCTAACATTGGTATTACCCTCAAGGAGCTTACAACCTAATGCTGAGCTTAAAATAACTGCACAATAAACTGTAATAAAAGGTGGGGTTGAGAGGGTAAAGGAGAAGGAAAATGATAGGATTGGTTTTAATTTAGGCTTCTGGTGTGCAGAACTGCACTTTGTTGTGTAATACAGGGCTTTGTGTTTGGCAGCTATAGCCCCAGGGAGTAATGAAACTTCTCCTTCCATTCAGTTTGCTCCATAATAGAAATCTTAAAAAATATATAGATGCTCACTTTTTCTTTTTTCTTTTTTTTTGGGGGGGGTAATAAATTATTGTTACCAGTTCTGTGTTTGGTTATATAACTGAGGAAAAGGCCTGAATACAAGTCTTCATAAGTTAAAAATGGTTTTGTTTGTTCTCTAAGTAGAACTTGTGCTTGGAAGCTTCATGAGAACTGTCAGAAAAACATGTTATTGGACACAGCAAAAGGCTGAACTTAAACTCTCTTTCTAAGGAGATTTCTTTAGCTCTGAATCTTTCTGCTAAAACACAGTGTCATGGTTTTGATTATATAATATTGTCTCTGAGATATTACAGCTTTAGAATCGTGTATTTTAATCTGCTTTACCTGGTAGCAGGTAACCAGGTAAGAGAGGGGAATCTACTTTAAATTAGATGACTTTTAGTGATATCTTTATCTTCCTCTGAAAACTTCAGACCGATTTTATTAAAATTCTTATGACCTGAATCAACAGTTTAAGTTTATGAGTTTACCCTCCATATTCTTCTTTGAGTTTTGTTTCTTTTGACTGGCAGCTCAAAAACTATAGACAGATATAAAATATGTTAGACCATATTTGCTGAGAAGTTGACTGTGATTTTGTATCTTGTGGTCAGGGCAGGATTTGGTTCTGTGAGGGGAACTGGCAAGTATTCTTATCTGGATCTTACCGGCCTAGATCTCTCATCTTATCCCTTTTTGCTTAGAGTTGAGAATTTTCTTGATGGAAACCCCCAAAAGAGTTTCAGATAAACAGTTTTCATCAACAGATGGGCAAGAGTGGGAGTAGATATTCCCTGTGGGTCACCAAGTTGGATGGATGAGGTACTGCCATCCTTCTGTCCTTTCTGAAATCTCGGCAATGGCTGGTTCCCTGTCCATTTCACATATGCACTCTCACATCATGGCCAGAGAGCTGCTCCTGATGAGATCAGTAACAATGGGCCCTTTAAAGGAGAGTTATAGATTCCTATTGTGGGTGGGGATTAGGGTCTGTTTTTATCCTTGGTTGGAACAGAACAAGGTATTTTCAGGGGATGGGAATGGGGAGAGTGTATGTACAAATGAAGTACATGGTAATTATTACAATATCCCCAGAGTATTAGTCACATCACAGACCATAAGTTTTAGTGACTCAGACAGAATATGTGTAAATATCAAGGGGACTAAAAGGGAATAGAAAATTTGGGAGAGCGTGATCGATTAACCATGACAACTGGTGGCTTTTGGCAAAGATAGATATTTCTGGCATTTTGAAGAGCTGTTATGCCTACACTATTTTTCTTAAGGGAAGAGAGCTATCTTGGGAAGTTCTGATGTTTTGAGAGCCGTAGTGAAATAAAATAGTGTTTCTCAGAGTGTGTTCATAATCCCCTAGATTACTTACTAAACATGCAGATTTCTGGCCCTTATCTCAGTTCTACTGACTCAACTTGGCCAATCATCAGAATTCTTAATTCTATAGATTTTTGAAGACTTATGCTGACCTACTCAATAAGAATACCTGGGAGTTGAAGTTGAGAATCACATACCTTCAGGAACAAAGGCACAACATCACTTCTATGTGTTTTTGCCAGAAATGCATCACATTATTCTAAATTCTAATGATGATAAAACATCAAACAAATCTAAATTAAGACTGATTAGAGGAGACAGATGAGGCATGATAAGGAAATGGAATGTGCGATCCTAAATTGGATTCTGGACCAGATAGAGAACATCAGTGGTATAATTGATGAAATTAGGATATCTTTAGATTAATTTATAGTGTTAAATCAATGTTAACTAATTCTTAATTAATTATACTTAATTTTTAAAATTAATTCTTTTCGAGTTCTTGTTCAACAGTTC